TTTGGGGGGGGGGGGGGAGGTAGATAGCTCATAAAATATGCAGGCTGCAATCACGTCCCGTGAATGGTTGAGGAGGAGACCACTAGAGGACTGTAGTAGAGTGCGAAGGGGGCCAAAGGGATGATGGAGGGGGATGATAAAGGGATGGAGGGGCCAAGCGGAGGAACCGCCCCCCACGCGTTTCGAGGAGCAACCACCCCGGCGAGGCTGTAATACTGCTGAAACGGCATTATCCCCATAGAGTAGTCGCAGACCGACGTCACCGTCGCCGCCGCCGCCGCCGCCGCTGCTCAGGGTCTTTGCTGCATTCGCGAAAAATTTTCATAACTAGCCAATCTGCTCTTTTGCATTGTTACGCGGGACCAACCTTCTTCCTTCCATCTCCTCTTCTCTACACCCCCTCTTGGTGTCACCACTATCCCAGTTCCCATTACCGTTGTATACATTTTCCATATCCGGGTAGGCTACCCCGGACTGACATAGTACTAGCACTAAGTCCATGCACTAAGAACACGTGCAACTAAACTGCAGTTCTCAATGCACAAACGGTGCATCGTGGGTTGTCCTATTTCACGGGAGAAAACACGAGGCTACTAGTTATCTTGTAGATTCTTCTTTATAGGTGTAGGTACGACGGCAGGTATCACGCTGAAAGGTTGGTAATGCCCTCTAAGTGGCTGCAGTGTTCCGAGGTAAAGTGTTGGATAGGACAGATGGGATTTTCCAGGGACTTTAAAGAGAACGGCTAGTCTGTGATTGGAAGGGTGCTTGGGTTTCACGAGTGGAAGACGTTTGCTGGAAGGCTCAGCCAGTTGAGTAAAAAAGACTCCTCGAGTTGGACTCCGAGTCAGAGTCGAAGTCAGAGGGAAATGGTAGCTGGAGGGATTCGACTGGGAAAAACGTGGCCAGGCTCAAGTGTTCTACGCCACTTGGCCGAGATATATATATATATATGATGCATGAGCTGCTCTTGTATACACGTACGTAGATGCGCATTCTCGTAGGGAACCTCCTGCCGTGACATGGACTCTACTTTTCTTTATATTGTGTAAACGTCCAGAAACAAGGTCCCACCAGACCTCTGGACCCGGTGCACCTTACGCCAGAGTAGAGTACAAGGGTTCAGGATGTGCTAGGATCACTTGAAGGATCTTATATCCTGCTATTCTTCCATGGCTCTATCCTCTTGTGTCTACTTACGTCTGTTTTACCATCGCATTTTTGTTTGTTTGCTTCTTTTTTTTTTTCAAAGTGAATTTACCGTACAGCTATCCACTTTTTCTCAGTAAAATTTGTTTTTATAAAGTTGGAAATATTATTCTACACTGCTTGAAGTCTGCACGAGAACTTTTCGAGTGGATTGTGAATTCTCATTTCTTGCTTCTTTCGATTGTTACAGGTCGGGCCGTTGATGCCTGATGGCGCGCGCTGGCACGCAGCGCTGGAGAAATCCTGCTCCAGAGTAAGTAAGCCTTCTACGTTATTTGATCCTTGGCTCGCTATATACAATTAATTAATTATATCAAGAGTCTATTACTTTCTGATGTAATTACTAGAGAGTTTCGTACGATTGAACCGTCAAAGGAGTTATTAGAGCGTAGAGTGTATTGGTCGTCTGTGACCTTCCTATCGATAGATGAACATTGAATGACTTTCGAGTATAATTCAGAAAGGTCTACGTGAGTACGAAGACTTTGTCGGACTTCCTTAGCAAACTTGATATTCCATACGGAAGAGGTTCTGAAGTAGCGGGCAGGTAGGCACGTACCTACTTACTGTTAGGTATATACCGATAAAAGAAAGTCTTTATAGGGAAGCGTAACCATTTTGATGATGAATAATTGAGTTGCCGTAGGTATGACCCCTGCCGTCTTGAGAAGGGTTGCGGAATTGCGGGCGTTCTCGAAATTAGCGAATATAGTAAACGGAGCGCGCGGCTGGCATTCGGTCTGAATAAGAATGAAAATTGCAAGGGTGGTTATTTCCTGGGGCTGCTGGGTTAGGGCTGCGTCCTGCTCGCGCTTCGAAAACCCGAGGTCATTTCACGCTGGCAAAAAGGTAGAGTCCAATAGGGGGTTACTTCTTTATAACATAAGCACCCCTTTTGAGTTTCCCGAAGGAGACACCCGGCTGCGTCCGTCAAAGTTCCCCTACAGGAGCTACCCTCGGCTTACGCACTTCCGCTAGTAAAACTCGGAACCCTTATACGGCAGGACCGCGCTGCCGCTAACTTTAAACCGTGTGTGTATATACAGGCCTACGGGTATATACCTATCTGTATCTCAGGAGGGTAAAAGTTGCCCTTTATTTTCTCCTACCTTATACCGGTCATTAGTGCGTTGTCCAACTTACGCGCAAAGTATCCACGAATTTATGTTACACGCGCCAAGTACGTTATGTGGAGTTCCACACCTTGGGATACTTTAGGAATTTAATTCAGGTACTCCGAAGCACCGAAGAGGGGAAGGGAGGGGAAGGGCTGTGCATTAGAGGGCCGGTATAATTTTCAGCTAATGCGGGAATCCACTAATTACAGATTAACAGTCATTACCGGCGTAATGGTAATGCGCGCCCATGTCCTTTCACTTGGATTGTATCGTAATGGTAGGGATCTCGTGTGGTTTCGTCGAACTCGTATGGGCCCCTAGGTTAAGGGACTCCTACTGGATATCCCTCTTCCAGTCGATATCCATTTCTACTATCAACCCTAATCGCACGCGAAGGAATTTAGAGTGGGTTGCAGGAGACGGAAGGATTTGACAAAGGGGAGACAGCACATGCAATATGTATCAAGGAACGACACCCGTTATACGAAAGGACATCTGCTTTTTCTCCCAAGGATATTTCTCGAATTCGATGAGAAGGCTGCTGCAGGGCATCACCTTCCAAGGGCTCCTATTAAATATGAAAACGTCATCGCAGGACGAACTGATAAGGAAGGCAAAGAAGAGAAGAAAAAAAAAATAGAAAATGGAGTTACCGACCCTTCGCGTGGGGGGG